TCTCTTTACTACTCTTTGTCTTTACTATCCCTACATGAAATTGGAGGGAGAGGACATGACAGAAGGACCATTAGGGAGGTATTTCTGGAAGAAGAAAGAGCAATTGGGGTCTTTTCTTTCTAATGGTAGAGTTATTGGCAATTTATTGTATAGCAGCATAAATAACTTTTTAAACACTAGATAGAAAGCCATCCCCTTCCTCCTGCTGCCATCTCTTTGAGTCACTGCCCAATAAGAAGTATGGGTATTAGTCCTGGCTGGTGTGGCTCAGTTGATTGGGCACTGGACTGCAAAGCAAAGGGTTGCCAGTTCGATTCCCAGTCTAGGGCACATGCCTGGGTTGCAGGCCAGATCCCCAGTAAGGGACACGAAAGAGGCAACCACATATGGATGTTTCTCTCCCTCCCTTCCCCTCTCTAAAAATAAACAAATAAAATATTTTTTAAAAGAAAGAAGTGTGGGTATTAAACAGTCTTGAGTAATCACTGAAAAAAATAGGAATGCCTATGAAAGGGTAAGAAACCAGCCTTAATTTGAAGCAGGAGACAGCATAGGAAAAATTCTCTGAGATTGCACTGCTATTACTAACCAGCATCTAGCATTCTGGTTGCCAGGAAATGCTTTTTATCACTTAGGTCAAATGAACAGTAAAAACCAAAGCAGGGAGGAAGAGGAAGCTATGTTTCACCCACTAACTCAGTAGTCATGAGCCTGGTCCAATAATATTGCCAGGTGTTCCAACATCACAAGAAACACTATGTTAGCATGGGAGGAGTGAGGTCTTTGAAATTCTACATAGTGTTTCCACTACCAGAGAAAGAAAGCCTTGGAACTGCGCTTTCATCCCAAGGCCTGGAATGTGGGAGAGGGCCCACCATGCCCAAAGAAGCAGCCCAGAAAACAGCTTTGGTTAATTGCCTGCCTCTGGTCACTATCTGTTTTACGAACAGTCCCCAATGCCTACAGAAAGAGCCAATAAATAACTTTGGACAAAAACTAAGGGGGGTGGAAATGGGAGGGAGGTGGGGAGCACTGGGGGAGTGAGCTGGGATGGAAGTAAAAGACAGAAAACTGTACTTGAACAACAATTAAAATAAATAAATTATTAAAAATTTAAAAATAACTTTGGGTAACTGTCCCAACTTTAATTAACTGCCTCCTGTCATACACCTGCTTTACAACAAAATGAACAAATGGGGTCTGGAGCAAGATAAGAATTCAGCTGACAGACCCCCACACATACCTACATTTGGGTAGTCACGTCTTCCCAAGAAAGCTGGCACCACATTTACCCATTTATCAATATGTAACTCTTTTACTCCCATCCCACCAGCTATATAAGTCATCAGAACAAAGGCCTCTGTGGGGAGAGATCTGGGTGCTTGGGGCGCTCTTGGTCCTCCTGGCTCTCTGGCCACCTGGCCTCAGGCCACCTGGGGTCTTGCTGCCCTGGTCGTCAGCCACTCTTACTTTTTGCCGCCCTGCTTTGCCCTGAACCTTAGCGTTTTACAACCCCCACACTCTACCTAGGCCTGTTCTCTTCCATGGAAATGGATCACTAATAAACTGATTACATACTAATAGATTTGCTGATCTGTAATTCTTTACATGCATCAGCAAGAAGAACTAGGTCTCTCCCATCAACACGTAGTTCAAAGACAAGTCAAGATTCAACCTTGACCTTCTAAATAGAAACTATAACCTAGGACTATAGACATTTAAAGTTGGAAGAGTTCTGTGCCTTTACTGTAAGCCACTTCAGCCTTATCTGTTCTTGTGTCAGGATTCCTGTTACAACCCAGCCAATAGATTGTGAGTCAGCATCTTTTTTGAATAGTGCTAGTGACAGGGGACTCATTGTTATAAGATCAAACTATCCCATTGTCGAACTAAAGTTTGCTTTTTAGAAAGTTTCAACCATTAATTCTAGCTCTGTTCTTTGACATTTCACAGAATAAGGAACTCGAGATAATAGAGAGACCACGGGCTCAGAAACATGTGATTGAGACACTTCAACTCTGAGTCCTGGCTTTGCCATTTACTGGATACATTAGTCTTCCTCATTTGTTAAAAGAGGATAACTACCTAAAAGGGACTTCGGGGATTAAATAAGAAAGCCCATGTAAGTTTCTGACATGCCCGAAGTACTGAGTGAACATTTGTTCCTTTCTATTCCTATTCCATTTCTCATCCTCCTGAAAACCCTTCAAATATTGGCAACAGCCATTATGTCTTCCCTAAATCTTCCAAGTCAGCCTTGAACATACTCAGCTTCCTTTAATTACTTCTCAAGAGACTGGCCTGTGAGTGCCAGGGCAGGGAGACATAGCTGACTCAACTTTAAATACGCCAGTGCCTGATATAGTGCCTGAGAAGCAGTTGGTACTTAGGGGATGTTGACTGATGAGAATTAAAATGACTTTCACATGCCAGTTTCAATCCTCAGGAGAAGTCTTCCTTTCAGTGGAATGCTGAGAAATTTTTTTATGGGCGGAAACTATCAATGTGGATTCCATCCACACCTCCCCTCAACATTCAGTTTCCTTGTACTTCCCTTGATTATCAGCAAGATCAAACAAGGTTCTGATCAATATCAATGCTTTTTTAATCTCAGTCTTCTCATGTAATTACTCCCATCCCCACCCTTCCATTATCTTGGTCTTTGTCTTTTACACTTGTTTTCATGGATTTATTTCTTATACCCTTTTACAAGCTGGCAAAAAAATGTTTTAAAACATACCCCATTCTCTTTTTAAATATCTAAAAAAAGTAATTCTAATTTTCCTGTTAATTAGATATTCTCTACTGAGAGGGACTCAGATCTAGGAGGAAATAAAAACATTTGCCAGTTAGCATCTCCAGCTTGCTCCTGCCCATCCTCAGCTTGGTGGTTTTTGTCTCCCTTTCCCCTTTAAGAAAGGACACAGTCATATAAATGCTCATTTCTAAGCTCCTTGGATTATCAAAGTGCCTTTAAGGAGCAGAGGTCAATCACATTTTTAAAATAGCACATTCTAGATAAGCAAAGTTCTGCATACCTAGCAAGAAATTTTTTTTCAAACTCTGCCTCTAGGCAAGAAGAACAGAGCACTGAAACACCTGAATCAACTGGTGTCTCCAGTTTAGTCACAAGGCTAAATAGGGCCTCTATTTTTAAACACATGACTGACACCCATCTATCTGGGCTGGGTCAAATACAGTCCATCCTGTGAGTAGAGAGAGGAATCAGATGACTTCTGAGATTCCTGCCAGCCCTATGATTTGTCAAACAGAAATATGATGGTGTCCTTAGGTTAAAAAAAAAAACACCACCCCAAAGATCTCTCAAAACTATGGCTTGCAAAAATCAGTAAATGAACCAAAATACTTTTTCACTTTCCTTTGGATGAGTCTGAAGCCAAGACTTAACTGAAGCTGCCTAAAGAAGGATATAAAAGTAAGACGAGCTGGTAGTACAGAAGGAGGAGAGGCTGGGTTTTGGTGGTGATGAATCAGGACTTTAGACCCAGAGGGTGTCTCCTTCCAAAGTGTGCAATTAAAGACCCAATAAAAGGTTTCAGCACTTGCCATCCGCTCACAGTGCCCTGCCTGCTTCACACCTGCTCTCGCTTGTGAACAAGGTAAGTCTCAATGATAATCTGCTTGAGCATAGGGTCTGGGGGCTGCTTTGCTTCCATGTGAGATTCTATAAGGTTTTCAGAAGAAACGCTTTAAGTAAACCACTACTGATTGTTAGGGTGTCCGGTGATGCAGACTGTGACAGAATTCAATGCAGGCTGTGACAAAAGAAAATGCAGAGAGCAAAGTTTTATTTTTACTTTCCCAAGAGAGGGAAAGGGTTAGGTGCGGAGAAATGCACCAGCCCTGAAGAGCAGGGACTGTGAGGTTTTACTGAATTAAAAATGGCGAAGGGGGTTGAAGCTGGGTGGTCATGGCAATCAGTTGTAAATCAGGAGGTTTCAGGCTGATAATGCAGGCTTCGGTTTGTTTTGCTGTTATTTCTGGGATCAGGGTCTGTGTGCTCCAGTATGTCCCATTTGTATAAATTTTGAAACACCTGCATGGGGATGCTTTTAGTAATCTTCCCAGTCCCGAGAACAGAAGCTCAGAGAAACAACAGTTAATTATGCCTGACAGACTAAAGGAAAGAAAGAGAGATAGCACTAATTAAGAAGGACTGAAAGGGACTTTTTTGTCCTTTAACTGAGATACTAAACTGGGAGCTCCAGCCACCCAAATGCACCATCCCTTGCTTCCAGAACTTCTTCGATCATACCATTTTTTTTACCAAGCAATGTGAATAATTTTTTAAAAATATAAACTGTTTGTAAGACATAGGAATAAATACTATTTAACAAGATACATAACTCAGACCTGTATAAAGATACAGAGTTATTTAAATGATGGGTATTGACTGAGGGGTCAGAACTCTGTTCTTTTATTTTACCAGTACGTTCACTGAGCTATGTCTTCCTGGGGCTTTTTCAGCCTGCATGCATAGCAGGTGATTTTCTTGGCCTTACTTTTCTTCCTCTACAAACTTTCCTAACTTCAAAGTTACACTTTCCCAAGCAGAAGAGTTAGACTGAGCCAAGGTGGGAGGAAAACAGTTGGGCACTGTCAGATGAGGCTGGAAGGATTGGTCCCAATCTGTGGGCTTTATTTGTGCATTTCTGTATTTATATTTGAGTTCATTTTCCACCCTCCTTTTGCAATAAAGTTTTGTCTGAACATATGGGTGTCCCTGTTTTCTGAAGGATAATGCGAAGTGTCTCTTCTAATACTTACCTTTGCTAGATCCGATATTGCCACGTTATCCGGTACAGAACTAAATCACCCCTAAAGTTCAAATACAATATTTAAAATACAGAATAGAGCAGACGATGCCAATGAAACTGGGAGAAAATCAGAAAGAAGGACCATCTTGTTATCTCCTTCTTGAAGGACCCATTCTGGGAAATGAGCTTTGTTTGTTCTTCCTCACAGTCTCCTTTGTCAAGATGCCTCGACTCCTGAGAGATGTCCTCTGTGTAATTGAGACATTCCACAAGTATGCCAGGGAGGATGGTGATGAGGTGACCCTGACCTGCAGAGAGCTTAAACAGCTCATCCAGAGAGAGTTTGGGGATATTCTTCAGGTGAGGTGCTCACAGAGCTATGCACATCCTTTTCTGCTTACCCTTTCTCCATAATCCAAGCAGGGCAGGCTTAAGTGATCCCTGCCTGTCTTATACCGGGCTCTCAGCTCTCAGCACTCACTGCCTTTTAAACAACTTTTTTTCAGTCTCAGCTCCCTACTCTGTACAATTGCTTAGCCAATCTTATGGAGAAAAGTGAAGTTTTTCTCACTGGGACTATTGCTTCAGCAAAGTAGGCTTTTGAGAAAAGTCATGAGCCAGTATGCATCTAAATGCAACTCATAAATGATATAAATGCCCTTTCTTACCCATTGCTCTCTAATGAAACTAGCATCCAGGAAAAATCCTACTGTTGGGGGAAATTTCACCAATGCCTGAGGAATAGGGTTAAAAATGAGTGTTCTTGGGGGACAGTCAAGATACTTGTCCCCTTGTAAACAGGCTGACCTCTCACTGTGTTTTCATGCAGCCACGTGTCGTTAACGCTGTGGAGAGAAACTTGAATCTTCTGGCTCTAGACAATGATGGCACCATCAGTTTTAATGAATTCGTCCTTACAATCTTCAACTTGTTGAACCTCCATTATCTTGACATACATTCATTACTAAATCCAGAGCCAAGACAAGTGCCTAACCCAGAAGAGAAGCCAGATGACATGGAGGCCCAGGAAGAAAGCGAGAGAAAGACTCAGCCACCAGCCCTGAAAGGTGAAGCACAGAATGGAAAGTATCAGGAACTCCAGGAATCATCAAAAGAAAGGGATGCTGAAGAAGGTTCTAATTCAGAAGAGTTACAATCAGAAGATCAGAAGCATCCTGAAATTAAAGGGGCAGTCACCCCAGGAAATGAGGCAAGATATGCAAATGAAGGGACAGCAGAAACACTTGAGAGCAAGAAAAAGGCCCCTGCAGCAGAAAGGGCACCAGGAGTAAGAGAAAGAGTACGGGAGTTGTCATCACTTGAGAACCAGTCTGGAGGGGAAAATACGAGGGTCACCAAGACACATGACAAGCCAGTCAAGGAGAATGATGGTAACCAGGGCAAGGATCCTGAGCCAACAGCCACAGAGAATGATAAAAAGTCTTCTGAAACCCCCAACAGCCTGACTCCAGATGATGGTGACAGCAGCTCAGGGACAAGTGATCTGCTTCTGCAAGAGGATTCCCAGAGTCAAGTAGACTCACTCAGAGAGTCTGCACAAGGAAGTCACCATAATAACCCAAACACTCATAAACAGGTAGCACTGGGTAAGAAAAACGGAACTCAGGAGGCAGATGGAGGGGAGGATGAGCATCTCACCGAGGAACAGGAACAGCCTGAAGGAGAAGAGCACAGGATTCAGGGCTCAGCAACAAAAGGCCCAGGCCCAGCTGTGGAGCCCAGTGGATACCCAGAAGCACAGACACACCTTGAAACAGAGAAATTTGTCACATGGGAGGAAGAAGATAAAAGCCCTCAAAAGCTGGCAGGAGAAGTTGATGGCCAACAAAATCTAGCCAAGAAGGAACATGATTCTTCAATCTTCCAGTCGGGCCTTGAAGAGAGGACTCAGAGGAGCTAAGAACCCTGTTCTTCAGAGAGAGGTACAGTGTAGTCCAATCCACTTTACAAGTACCAGAAGAGAAGATACTGCAGCAAACACACACAACCAAAAAGGAGAATCAAAATCAAGTTCAGACATCCAGGGTATTAGGTCCAGAGCTCTGCAATGACCATTTCAGCAATGAGATCTCAGATTGTTTTGTCTTTTTCAGTGATAGATAAGCTTTACAACAGTACACCAAGGAACTTCTGCCTAGTAAGGATTCTGCTGATGCACAGCAAACATCAGCTCCCGAGGCTTTGGAAGATAAGCAAGGCCACCCACAAAGAAAGGGGAGCACCACAAAGCAATGAATCTTTATCGTTATTCCAGAACTTCGGTCCATCTCAACATGTCCCAAACTTACTTCCTCTTGACCACCCTCAACATGTACACATGTATGTACACATTCAGATGCAGAATAATAATCCTTTCAACTCCCCTCCTAAATTTTTACAAGAGCAAATAATAAAGTATTCAGCAGTGGGAACTACCTCCAAAGAAATGTCACACCAAACATCTTATGTGATGCTACTGCCAAGTGCTAAAGTGGACTTTCTCAAGGGACAATTTAACACAACTTACCTGTCACTACAAATGGAAAAATCCCTTTCATGTCTTTCATAGCTACCAATTTCTTCAATTGATTCATTAGCTTTTTATGATGTGGCAATAGGAAGTATGGGACTCCACAATACTATCTTATAATCATAAAATTTCATTAATTCATAGTCATAGATGATTATACTTCATAATATTTTCTATACAGATTTCATGTTTATCCCAAAATTTTATCTCTCAGAATAATCTCAGATAGCATTGTAACTAAAATAATTATGACATCTAGCATCCAATTCAACTAGATTCATGACTCTTTATTCATGTCTAGTTGAAACTCAATCTATGCCATATATTCATTCTTTCATTTATTCATTCAACAAACTTTTGTTAAATCCTACTCCTTACCCAGCCCTTTCATAGTTTCTGGATCAAATAAGCAATCAGAATACAAATCTAAAGTGTACATGATTTCATAAGAAGTTCTTATAACCAACCATCCTCTAAGTTTACAAAATGTTTACCCATATGGTTTGCTAAGGTCATTGTATTAAAATTAATAATTAAATAGCCTGATGATCAATACTTTTTGTTGGTATATTTTTTCCTTTTATTTTCCATCTATTCTTTAAGACATCAATCAGAAACGAAAACAATTTCAGGGATTTCTGTTTTCTTAAAAGAACTGCAATTAAAGGGTGATGCTCCCAAAGCTTAGTGATGACATAGAAAAGGAATAAAACAGTTGTCACATAATTTTTCCTGAAGCCAAAATACCCCATCTCCCAAAGCATTCTTCCTTTGAGGCTCAACTTTCTTCCACTTCAATTCACACCTCTTCTGGTATCTGAAATTCTCCTTTATTTCCTCCCCTTCAGGATTTTCAGATCTTTTCATTCTACCTGTAAACATAAATGAATATTCCTATCTAAAAAAAGAATTCTCTTAAATGAGCAAGAGACATGAGACAATTGATAAAAAAAGAAAATATATACCAGAACATAAACTAAACATCTCTTTTGGCAAGTACCTCGGCAATATATATTAAGGACTGCAAAAATGACAGAGGTCATAAATAATAAATTCACAAAAGAAGCTATACAGCTCTGGTTAGATCGACTGAGTGGATTGAGTGCCAGCCTGCAAGGTTAGGGGGTCACCGATTAGATACCTGGTCAGGGTCAGGGCACATGCCTGGGTTGTGGGCCAGGATTCCCCTTGGCTACGTGCAAGAGGCAACTGATTGGTGTTATCTGGAACACATTGTTTCTCTCCCTTTCTTTCTCCTTCCCTTCCCTTCTCTCTAAAAGTAAATAAATAAAATCTTTTTGAAAAAAGAAATTAAAATGATAGTCAATAAATTATGAAATCCTCACTACACTTCAAGAAAATACAAATTAAAAATATTTGTCACTTATCAATTAGTAAAGGTTATTAATTTGTTTTTTAATAACTATATACTAAGGTTGATAACCAAACAGAAAATGAAATACAGCTGATAGGTGTATACATGAGTACAACCTTCCCAGAAGGCAATAATAATATGCATAAAAATATATTAAATATAAAGAAATAATCAGGAATTTGTATAAAGATTCATCTACAAAGACATTAGTCATTGCCTATTAAAGATAGCAAAAACCAAAAATAACCTAATGGTACATCATCACAGGAATTTTTAACTAAGTTATGATTACTAGATACTGAGAAATGCCAAAACCATTAGAAACTATGAGAGAAGATATTTAATTAAATGAGGAAGGATTCATGAGATACTAAGATTTGAATAATATAATATAGAGTATGATTTCATTTAAAAATGAATAGATGATAAATAGGCAGAATATGAGACCAAAACCTTAACAATAGTTATCTTTAACTAGGGAAATTATAAATGATATTTACTTCCTATTTTGAGATTTTCTTCATTTTCCTATTTTTTATAATAAAAATATAATAACATTTGCAATCAGAAAAATAGATGCTATTTTAATAACTAATTGATAACCTTTAATTCTAGCCTCAAGAAATAATCTAAAATAGAAAAAAATCTTCACAAAGATGTTCACAACACTTTCATTTATAATAATAAAAAGTATAAAAAATCAAATTTCTAATAATAGGGAAATAGGTTATGAAAATTATTCAATATCCCCTTGATGGTTATTATACAGTCTCTAGAACGTGCAGTTAGGAAGCATCAGCACTCACATGAAGAACTCTTCATGTGGAAATACGTGATACCATTCTGTGCTTACAGCATGCTATCAACAATATTTTTAAATTACTTATATACCCTTGTGACTTGGGTTTGAATTACACAGGTCCACTTATACATGGAATTTTTTCAATAAGTACATAAAGTACCTTAAATACACTTTCTTAATTACATTTTATTTTCTCTAACTTTATTGTAAGAATATGTGATATATAACATACATATAAAATATGTGTTAATCAACTGTTTATAGCATGCTTTTGGTAGGGTTTATAATCAACAGTTAAATTCTGAAGGAGTCAAAAATTGGACATGAATTTTTGACTGTGAGGATGGTCACCTGCCCCTAACCTCTGCTTTGTTCAAGGGTCAACTATAAATATATATGAGAGGAAATACACCTGACCATCTGCAATGTTCATCTCTTAGTAATAGAATTATGTGATTTTTTTCCTTCTTTCTAAATTTCTATATTTTCACATTTTTCTGTACTGGGCATTTTTTAAATTTATTTCCTAATTTAAAAATAAAATAAATAAATAAAATGACAGCTTATCAATGTTCTCTTCACATTCTAACATTCTTCTTTTCTCTCCCTCTTTCTGGCCTCCATTCTGTCCCTAATGCAGGGCAATTTTTCCCCGCCATTCTACAAAAATTCTTCCTTCGAAGAACACATTGCCCTCCTACTGACAAGTCTAAAGACCTTTAGCCTCTGTGTTTTGTTTTGTTTTGTTTTGTTTTTGCCTCTTATGGCAGCTGACTGCCCCCTCCTGAAACACTCATTTCACTGATTCTTTCCCACCCCTCTGTGGATCCTTTTCATCCAAGTCCCCAAGACTGTGGGCTCGTTCTTGTCCTACACTTTCTCCCTCTGAGAACCTATTTTTGACTCAAGTTGCTATTATCTCCTCTACACCAATGAGTCTCAGTTCATCTTGTTCAGTCATTGAAATGACTGTACATTTCAATCCAACCTATACAAATGCTCACAAGATACCAACCCTGAGATTGCCAACCACTCTCCAGTAACCTGGCTTTTCTCAATTTCCTTTATTCTGTCATTCTTTCTTTCCCCATTCAAACCAATTTCAAATGCACAGACTTTAAACTCATCATTTGCTTTGTCTCCTTTATTCTCCCTATCTAATGCACTATAGGATCTCAACAGGGTCTTTTGTAAACCCATTTTACAGATCTATCTTTCATTCTGCATTACCTATATGACTTCAGGTTCCCTCCACCTAAAATCCTGTTTCTCCTTCCTCTCTATAGATTTATGTCCAAATCCTGTTTATCCTATGGGGCCCAACTCCAATGCTCCTTCCTTCCATCCTTCCTTTTTTTTCTTCCTTCCTTCCCTCCAAGATTTTATTGAAAAATATGTTATTTCCAAATATTGGGTGAAGCACTAGAAATAACAATAGCAGCAAAGAAAATTAAGTACTCTTTATCTTGGAGTTTGTTTTCTAATGAGGGAGAAGAGAGACAAACAACAAAAAATTACAATAAATAAACAAGATAATTCCAGTATGGTAGTGAGGGCCAGGGGAGCAGAAAGGCAGAGGCAGGCAGACATGCTGCTATAGAATATTACTTTAACCTTTCCTGATGCCTCCAGCAAAACAAATGTTGTCCTCCCTTAAATGCATAGTTTTTACTTATGTATTTTTTTAATTCACCCTTGAATTACAGTTATTTGTGTGCTTGTCTTAGCTCTCCTCTCAGACCTTAAGCTCCTTGATGACAAGGCTTGCCACTTGCACATCTTGCTGTTCTGCATCAGCATGGATCTTAGCAGCAGATATGTACTAAGATTTCAATAAATGTTGAATAAGTAAACAAGTACCAATATCATTGGAACAGCCTCTTCGCTGTCCCCCTGCTTCCAGTCCATTCCTCATATAATCACTCATGAGTTTTGCAAATCATTGTTTTCATCTCTCTGCGTAAGACCTCTCAGAGACACCTCTAGTTTCCTACATGCCACATTAAATGTAAACTGGTCAAACTCTCTATAATAGTCCTTCAATTGCAATCTAGAAATGTAGAACACTTACTAAGAGCATTGGATTGGTCATCTAATTGTCTTTTTACACTTGTTGTAGACCACTCTGCCTGATTTTAGGAATTGTACCTCTACCCCTTGTGGCTAAGGGCAAGAGACAGCCTTTGGAATGCCAGAAGCAGGAGACAAAGCCTGTCTCTGGTAGCAAATGCTGCCTCAGTTCCTCTCCCTGACCCCAAAGCTTGGTCAGAAGTCAATGACGGGTAAGACCCCTCACAAAGGGGGGCAACCTAAGCCAGACTCGATCACCTGGGAGGCCTTCATGGAAGGACTGGGAGGGGGGGCTGCAACAAAGAGCAATGGACTCTTGCCCCCCGCCCACCCCCTGTTTTGTCAAAGCCAGAGTCCCCATGTTCTCTGGGAGAAGCACTTCCTGGCTCTAATCCCCTTAAGCCTGAATACCTGATGGGGAGAGGTGCAGCTCCTTGCCTTGCTAGAGCATGTCCTGGGGGGGGGGGGGGGGGGGGGGG